GAGCTCCTCAAATCTGCTCTGTGGAGTCTCCTTCTCCAGAGCTCCTCAAACCTGCTCTGTGGAGTCTCCTCTGGAGCTCCTCAAAACCTGCTCTGTGGAGTCTCCTTCTCCGGAGCTCCTCAAAACCAGCCACCAAGCGCCGAACAGACCTCCTGGTCTATTCCAGGGTGCCCCATTCCCACCCAATCCGGGTGTTCTTCCCGCTTTGGAGGCCACTCACGTGGTGCAGAGGCGGGCTGCAGCCAACGTCCTCGGGATCTGCAAGGAGAGAGGCCGCTCCGTGAGGGCTCGCCCGGCTTCCCGACGTCCCCTCCAGCGCCGGCAAGGACGGGAAGCTCGGGAACGTCCATCCGGAGCCGCGGGCGCCACTCACGCTCCACGAGGAAGAAGAAGCAGATGAGGCCCACGGAGGCGATGATGACGCCAGGCACCACGAAGGAGAGGCCCCACGCCGAGGAGACCCACGCGCCGGCGATGAGGGAGCCCAGGATGTTGCCCACGGACGTGTGGGAATTCCAGATGCCCATGATGAGGCCTCTCCTGCGGGAAGGGCCGGCTGAGCGGCCGGAGCGCCGCGGAGGCGTCCCGAGGCCGAAGGCCGACTCACTTGCCCTTCCCGAACCAGTTGCCCACGCAGGCCACCACGGCCGGCCAGCCCGTCGTCTGCACCAAGCCGTTGCAGATCTGCGGGAGAAAACAGCGGGAAAAGGCAATTCCCAAGCTGGATTCGGCCTCGGGGAGGCCGAGCGCTCCCGCGGGGCCCCAACGCCCGGATTTGGGGGGATTTCTTCCCAAAAAGGCCCTGCGGATACAGCCGCAAATTCCAAGCGGGATGGGGCCCGCATCCCAAATTCCGGCAGGCGGGCGCCGGCCGTTCCGGCTGTTGCCAAACCAGGTCGGAGCAATTAGGGAAGCGGGACGGTTTCGACGCCCACGCGCCCCACCTAGCCGGGCGCTGCCAACTCATCCCACGAGTGAATCCGTCCTCTGCGATCCCTTCCGCAAGGAATATGCTCCTTTTTTTTTTTTTTTTCCTATCGGAAAAGCGTGGGATTTGGGAAGAGGGCGCCTCACCTGGATGATGATGAAGTACCAGAGCACGTGGATGTTCCAGAAGTAGCCGAGGCCGAAGAGCGCCGTGAAGAGGCCGCTGAGGAGCATCCCGCTGGAGAGGTAGTAGCGCAGGGGCAGCCGCTCGCCGAAGATCCCGCTGCGGGATAGCGGGAAAACGGGATGGAGCAGGGAAAAGGGGAGAAATGGCGGGGAAAGGGATAGGGGGAAATGTGGGGGGGAACGGAGAGGGAATTGGGGGGAAAGGGATGGGGAAGAAATAGGTGGAAATAGGGGGGAAGAGGAGGAAAGAGGGAAGGAATAGATGGAAATAAGCGGAGGGATTTGGGGAAGTGGAGGGGGAATGGGGAGGAAATGGGGGAATAGGGGAGAAATAGGGGGAATAGGGAAGAGGTGGAGGGGAAATGGAGGAAAATGGGAGAGTAGAGGGAGAAGTAAGGAAAATAGAGGGAAGAAAAGGGGGAAATAGGGGAAGGAATAGAGGGGAGGGGGAGGAAATGGAAATAAGGAGGGAATGGAGGGGAAAATAGGGGAGGAATAAGGGGAGGAAGAGGGAAATGAGGAAGAAATGGGGGAGAAATAGAAGGGGGAATAAGAGGAAATAGGGGAGAAATAGGGAAGAATATGAGAGAAATGGGGAGAAATAGAGGGGAAATAAAGGGAAATAAGAGGGGAAATGGAGGGAAATAGAAATAATTGAAGGATGATTAGAGAGGGAAAAATGGAGGGAAAGTGGAAATGGAGGGGGAAGGGATGGAAATAGAGGGGGGAAGAGAAGGAAATGGGGGAAGGAAATGGGGGGAGAAGAGAAGGAAAGAGGGGATGGAAAGAGAAGGAAAGAGAGAGGAAAAGAGAAGGAAAGAGGGGATGGAAAGAGGGGGAAAGAGGGGATGGAAAGAGAGGGAAAGAGGGGATGGAAAGAGGGGAAAAGAGGGGATGGAAAGAGAGGGAAAGAGGGGATGGAAAGGGGGGGGAAAGGGAAGGAAAGGAGGGAGCCGGGGCGCTTTTCCCGGCCGCACCTGACGAACATTCCCACGGCGTAGGCCACCAGGAAGGCGTTATCCAGGGCGCCGAAAAGCTCCTTGTAGTTGTCCCCGTCTGGAGAGGGCGACGTTCCGGTGCCGCCGGCGCCCTTTGGCCCCCGGAGCGGCCGCCGGAGAAGGAAGGGGAAAGGGGGGGGGGGGATTTGGATTCCCGGGATGAGCCCGGAGCGGGATCCGTACCGAAGGGCGCCCAGCTGCAGTCGCCGGTGCCGTTGGAGCCGTCGCGGCGCTCGGCCGCCGAGCAGTTGCGGTGCAGCTGGCTCTGGTGGCGAGGATGAGGATGGGGGTGTCCCCAAGGTGTCCCCAGGGTGTCCCCTGGTGTCCCCAGGGTGTCACAGGGGTGTCCCCTGGTGTCCCCAGGGTGTCCCCGGGGTGTCCCCAGGGTGTCCCCAGGGTGTCCCCAGGGTGTCACTGGGGTGTCCCCCAGGGTGTCCCCAGGGTGTCCCCCAGGTCTCCTCAGGGTGACCCGGGACGCCCCCCAGGGTGTCCCCAGGGTGTCCCCAGGGTGTCTTTAGAGTGTCCCCCAGGGTGTCTCTAGGGTGTCCCCCAGGGCATTCCTGAGGTATCCCCAAGGTGTCTCTGGGGTGACCCCAGGGTGTCACGGGGGTGTCTCTAGGGTATCCCTAGGGTGTCCCCAGGGTGTCCCCAGGGTGTCTTTAGAGTGTCCCCCAGGGTGTCTCTAGGGTGTCCCCCAGGGCATTCCTGAGGTATCCCCAAGGTGTCTCTGGGGTGACCCCAGGGTGTCACGGGGGTGTCTCTAGGGTATCCCTAAGGTGTCCCCGGGGTGTCCCCAGGGTGTCCTTGAGGTGTCCCCCAGGGTGTCCCCAGGGTGACCCCCAAGGTGTCCCTGTGGCATTCCCGAGGTGTTCCTGGGATGTCCCGGGACATCTCCTGGGTGTCCCCAAGGTCTCCCTAGGGTGTCCTGGGGCATCCCCGAGGTGACCCCAAGTGTCCCCAGGGTGTCCCTCAGGGTGTCCCCGAGGTGTCCTCAGAGTGTCCTGAGGGTGTCCCAAGGTGTCCCCAGGCTCTCCCCAGGGTGTCCCCATGTTGTCCCCAAGGTGTCCCTAGGGTCTCTACAGGGTGTCCCTAGGCTCTCCCCAGGGTGTCCCCCAGGGTGTCCCCGAGGTGTCCCCAGGGTGTCCCCCCGCCCCGGCACCTTGACGATGCTGATGGGCTTGCGCGAGAGGTGGTAGCTGGTGTAGCACAGGAACGTGAGCAGCAGCGTCAGCCCCCGGTACCTGCGGGACCATCCCTTGGGATCACCCCATTCCCAGCTCCTTTTTTCTAAACTATTTCCTTTTTTCCTCCCATTTCCCCCCCAAAAATCTTGTTTTCCCGGGAATAAATAAATAAATCACAGCGGGTCACTCCCCTGCGGGGGGGTGAATCCCTAGGGAAGGGACGAGGGGGGCGGTTGCGTCAAGGAGTGGACGGAAAGACGGACGGCGGGACGGAAAGAGGAAGCTCTTGGGCAACAGTGTCGCGTGAGGCCGCGCTCAAAATAGACATAAATATATAAATATATAGATATATAAATATATAAATATATGAATTTATCTCTATATCATCAAAAGGCCAAAACAAACAGGCCGGGTTTGTCATCTGGCAGAACAGGATGCCCCGAGCGGTGGCCCCGGGGCCTGGCCGGGTGCCAGTGGCCTGGGTGCCACCTCCCTGCCCAGTGCCCGGTGACCCCCCCGTCCCCGTCCCCCTGCCCCCCGTGTCCCTCTGTCTGCCCCGGCCCAGTGTCCCCAACCCCCGTGACGAGTTGGTGGCCTCGGTCGCCCCCCGTGGCGCTGGTGTCACCCCCTCCTGCTGCGTCCCCTGCTCCGGTGTCCCCAGGGTGGGAGCTGCTGTCCCCCGTCCCGGCACCCCCAGTGCCCATCCTGGTGTCCCCCGGCTGGTGTCCCTGCCCCTGTGTCCCCTGAACCCGGCT